CACTTAACCGCTAAGCCATGGGGCCGGCCCCATAGTGGCTTCTTTTGAGGAATTTTGATACGGACAAAATTATTCATCTGAGAGGTGTCTTCAAACAACAAACAAAGGAAAATTCTTACTGTCCAATTGTTTGCTTTCTTTAATTGCTATGAGAAGCATTCTAAACAAAATTTGAACTCAAAAATTCCTCCCTAAAAATATCCTCTAGCTCCTGAAAAAGAAGAACAAGGCTGGAGGCGTCACAATCCCTGACTTCAAAACATACTACAAAGTGATAGTAATTAAAACAGCGTGGTACTGGTACAAAAACAGACACACAGATCAATGCAACAAAATTGAAAGTCCAGAAATAAAACTTCATATCTATGGGCAGCTAATCTTTGACAAAGGAGCTAAGGACATACAGTGGAGAAAGGAAAGTCTCTTCAATAAATGGTGCTGGGAAAACTGGACAGCCACTTGCAAAAGAATGAAAGTAGACCACCTTCTTTCGCCATACACAAAAATGAACTCAAAATGGATCAAAGACCTGAAGGTGAGACCTGAAACTATAAAACTCCTGGAGGAAAATATAGGTAGTACACTACTCGCCATCAGCCATAAAGGGATCTTTTCGAATTCCATGTCTACTCAGACAAGGGAAACAAAAGGAAAAATAAACAAGTGGGACTTCATCAGATTAAAGAGCTTCTACAAGGCAAATGAAACCAGGATCAAAATGGATAGGGAACCCACCAACTGGGAAAAAATATTTGCAAACCATATATCTGACGAGGGATTAATCTCCATAACATATAAAGAACACACACAACTGAACAACAAAAAAACAAACAACCTGATCAAAAAATGGGCAGAGGAAATGAACAGATACTTCTCCAAAGAAGATATACTGATGGTGAATAGGCACATGAAAAAATGCTCAATGTCACTAATCATCAGGGAAATGTAAATCAAAACCATACTAAGATACCATCTTACACCCATTAGAATGGCTATAATCACCAAGACAAAAAACAACAAATGCTGGAGAGGCTGTGGAGAAATGCACTGCTGGTGGGAATGCAAACTGGTGCAGCCTCTATGGAAAGCAGTATGGAGATTCCTCAAGAAATTGAAAATAGAAGTACCTTATGATCCAGCTATCCCACTACTGGGCATCTACCCAAAGAACCTGAAATCAACAATCCAAAGAGGTTTATGCACCACTATGTTCATCGCAACATTATTCACTCTAGCCAAGACATGGAAGCAACTCAAGTGTCTCTCAACTGATGAATGGATAAAGAAGATGTGGTATATATATACCATGGAATACTACTCAGCCATAAAAAAAGACAAAACCATCCCGTTTGCACAATATGGATGGACCTGGAGGGTATTATCTTAAGTGAAATAAGCCAGAAAGAGAAAGACAAACAGGGCATGATTTCACTCATATGTGGAAGATAAACCAACACACAGACAGATAGAACTATTTGGTGGTTACCAGGGGTTAGGGGGGTGGGGAGTGGGCACAAGGGGTGGAGGGAGGCACTTATGTGGTGACTGATAAACAATAATGTACAACAAAAATTTCACAATAAAAAAATTTTTTAAAAAGAAACCAGACACAAAACAGTACATACTAAAAAAAAAAAAAAAAAAAATTCCAGCTAAAATTAATGTAAAATATGAGAATCTTGTCCCTCATCAGCACCTTTAGACAATATTTAGGATTAGCTTCTGATGTTGACATTCCCAAAGCTCTTTCCACAGTTTGTTAATGGCTTAAAGTCAGAAATCGCAGATAAGTTGGATAAACAAAAATGTTGGCTGGCAAATCACTCCACTGCATAAACATCACATTTGGCCATATATTTTAAGACTTTAGATACCAAAAAACAAAAGAAATCTAATGAGGAAATTATTATTTGTCTTGTTTGCCTAAACAACAGATCATTTTTCTCATGCAGGAGACATCACTTCCTTCTTTTCCACACATCAGGAATTAATAAATGCTGGCTTTAAAAATCTTATGGCTTGGGGGCTGGCCCAGTGGCGGAGTGGTTAAGTGTGCCACTGCGGTGGCCCGGGGTTTGGATCCCGGGCATGCACTAATGCACCATTTGTCAAGCCATGCTGTGGCGGCGTCCCATATAAAGTGGAGGAAGATGGGCACGGATGTTAGCCCAGGGCCAATCTTCCTCAGCAAAAAGGGGAGGATTGGCAACAGATGTTAGTTCAGGGCTAATCTTCCTCACACACACACACACAAAATCTTATGGCTTGATAGCATTGTCCAGGACCCAAATTACGTCAAAATCAGATATAAGACGTTCTCTTTTGCGTGTGTGCATTTAAACTTTCTCCTCTTTCCTTACAGAGAAAAATCATTAGCTATTTGTCTAAAGCCAGTTTCCTCTTATTTTTTTCTATCCCTCTTTCCTTTTTTCTCTCTTGAAAACTTGAAAGATTTGCTCATCAAAAAATGCATTCAGTTGTTATCCATATACTCTAGGAATATTTAGTTCAGATGAAGCCAAAATTGTCTAAATAATGAAAAAGAAACGTTATTAAACTATGGACTTTAGAAAGTATGTTGAAGAGCTTCCGGGCTGGTGAGCACATGGAGGTGTGAGGAGAGTGTTGGGGGTGGACTGGGTGTGGAAGCTCCCGCCCCTTCCCCTTCCTGTGCTCTGTGCATCACTTCCATCTGGCCGTTCCTGAGTTATAGGCTTTTATTATAAACTAGTAATCTAGTAAAAAAAAAAAAAAAAGGAAAGTATATTTACCTACTAGCCTTTGTAACTAGCTATGAGATAATAAGGCATCAAATTCAAAGTAAAAAACTTGAGCATGATTCAGTCTTTATTAATTTAACATTTTAAGAAAAAGTTAGTACATATTTTGGTTTGTCTAAGACCAAGATTAAATTTCTCATGATTCAAACTTCCTAAATTTCCTACATTGGTTTTATGAGTTAAATACATTTCCAGGGGCCGGCCCGGTGGCATAGCAGTTAAATTCGCGTGTTCCACTTCGTGGGCCCAGGGTTTGCCGGGTCGGATCCTGGGCGAGGACGTACTCACTGCTCATCAAGCCATGCCGAGGCAGCGTCCCACATAGAAAAGCTACAACTCTACAACTATGATATATAACTATGTACTGGGGCTTTGAGGAGGGAAAAAAAGAAAAAGAGGAAGTTTGGCAACAGGTGTTAGCGCTGGGCCAATCTTCCTCAAAAAAATAAAAAATTAAATAAATTAAATAAATAAATATGTTTCCACTATTTCCATAACTAATTTAAAATTAAAAATCATATGCATAAAGTTGTATTTAACTAAAATAGTTAAAATAATGGATGTCTTTTTAATGGGTTTAATTTTCTAAATTCCTTACAATGCTACATTTTATAAAGATTTGATTGTTAGCTAAATTGTAATTTCCAGATTTTTAACTATTTTTTAAGAACTTAGAACTAAATCAATTAGTAAGTAATCTTTAAAGATCTATATGTACACCTGAAATTTTTGCAATGTTATAAACCAATGTTACTGCAATAAACAAAAAATTAAAAAAAAATAAAATAAAATAAAGATCTATATAGTTCTTAAAAAGAAAAATATACAAAAACATTGGTTACATAATTTGCCCTTATTTCTTAAAATGTCAGTAAATTAACAAAATATTCAAATACCTTTGGATGTTAATGCATATATGTTTGGTTTTACCTTCCCTAATTTTTAAAATAATATGAGATAAATGCTCAGAAATATACAGCTGCACAATATTTAATTTTGTCCCTTGAGTTTCTTTTATAAAAAATTATTGGTTACTCTAATTAAAGATAGTAATTCATATAGATGGCTAATTGTACAGGATACAGTAATTGCAAAGGGATACAGGTATGTAGGTGTGATTTTCTGTTATTTCAAATGGTTGTTACAGTTCATTCAAATGATAAGTTTAATATGATATATATGTTTCATTAACATACAGGTAAGCTAATTCTATTTTAAGCTACAGTTAAAAACTTTAACGTATTACCTATGTATATATTTATATATCTGTATATGCCTAAATGCATACAAACAAAGGTAGGTGAATTGTTTCTTACTACAATTTGTTACACAATGTGCCAAAAGAGTAAAATTAAAGGTTGAGTCCCTGTGATGGTTAATTTGACATGTCAGCTTGACTGGGCCACAGGGTGCCCAGATATTTGGCTAAACATTATTTCTGGATGTGTCCCTGAAAGTGTTTCTGGATGAGATTAACATTTGAATCTCTAGACTGAGGGAAGCAGATTGCCCTCCCCATGTGGGTGGGCCTCATCCAGTCCACTGAAGGCCTGAACATTATGAAAGCTCTGCCTACCTGTCTGTAAGCTGGGACGTTGGTCTCCTGCTCTGACCTCTGACTTGGATCATCGGCTCTCCTGGGTCTGGACTTCTCAGCCTTCATAATCACGGGACCTATTCCTTATAATAAATCTCTCTGTATGTATGTATATACATACACACATATTCTATACACATCCTGTTGGTTCTGTTTCCCTGGAGAACCGTAATATAGTCTCTCATGAAAAATGACTGTTTTTTTATGGCCAAATTAGTAGAAGTTCCTTTTTGTCACCAAATTATTCTGTTAACTCTCAGTGATTTTCACATACTCTTAAATAATCTTGTTTAGCGATTCCCTTGGATAGCTCTCACCTAATTTTTTGTTTATATTTTTAAAGGATATCACAGAAGTAAATTCACCCTTAAAATATAGACCACTCCCAGAAATTAAATTTCCCATAAATTAAAGTTTATATGACTAAAATAATTGCCCTCACCCGGGCATGGCAACTGGCAAAAGCAAAGTACATATTTATACTGGTAGGAGAGGAGCTCTCGTCCACAGATCGCCTGGGAGGGCCCATTGTGACAGAAGAGTGAGCACTGTGATTGGCCAGGGACCTCGATGTCATAAAGGCCTGGTGCTGGTGTCAGAGAATAAAAGGAGAGGGCCGTGGCGTTGAGAGGGGACTGCCGGTCGTCTGCCTCTTCTCCTCGTGGTCTTTCCCTTTGCAGCCTTCCTTCCCCCAAACCCACTGGACATGGCCTTGGAACCCACATAGCTTCCAGTTCCAGGCCGCAAGACTCCCCACTGCTCACACCCACCTTCTCCACCCAGCACCAAACAGCTGAAAAGCTGCTCAGACCTCGAAACCTACTCTAACATAGAAGGTAAGGGTGTTCAGATTACACTGGGCAAGATCACCACTTCATACCTTACCAAGAAACAGGACCCATAAATTCATAGGAAATGCCCTTGGCAAACGTGTGTCAGTTACTTAGAGCAGGAGTGGATGACAGAGATGTCCAGTGTGTTTCTTACTGAAGGTCTGATCAAACCTAAAAATTAACTGAGGACAGCTTATGAGACCTCTCATGCTCCTGGAAAAGCTTCTGAGTGTCTGAGAAAAGCTGCATTCCCATGGGTCATGGAGTAGGTTATTGAAGCCCATAGACCGTGGGTTTCTTGGAACCCATGCTGTGTGAGTGGTGGATCCCTCCATTGCCCACTGAAGGAGAACTTACCTAGCTTTTCTCTCCTCTCCTTTAGATGTCTAGAAGCCAGTTGGGGTCAAGAAACAGGCCTCTACCTACATTTATGTGGGTAAATGAAGTCACAGCACAAATCACCTACCCCACATGGAAGGCAGATCCTCCTGCGCCACCTGCTTCTCTGCTGAGCCTGAGATGTGGACCCCTATCTGGATGTGGGGCTAGGGAGGTGGCTCCTCCCTGTCTCACAGGCCCACCTCTTGTCCCCGCACAGACATTGAGTCCCGCGGCGCCCCCTGCTGCTGCCTCCCCGAGAAATAGTGCTCCAAGGAGCCCTGGCGCTGGCCAGGTGCCTGCTGCTCTCAAGAGCCCTCCGTCTCTGCCAGACACGGGCACCCCACTCTCTCCATTTCCAGGCCTTCCCCCACCATGTAGGCCGTTGGCACCACCCCCTCAGCCACTAAGCTCTCCATTTCCCTCCCCCCAAGGCACACTCCCGGCCCGAGGGCTTTCCTACTTTTATGATTTGTCCACAAAGGTGACATCCTTCAGCCCCCAGAAAGTCGTCTTCCAGGCTGTTTACAGGACCCTACATAGGGTCTTCAGAGGCTTTCAGCCTAACACAAATCATGACCTGGTTTGACCTTTAAAATGTCTCAAAATCTAATATTGGAGGCTTTCTTGGATGTTTATTTTATCATTTTCCATATACATATAATTTTTCTAAACACTTTCTAAAACAGTCATTCTTTGTGCTAACATGTGCTTTTTCCATTTTAAAATTGAAAGAATATGATCATTAGCAATAAGAACTGAATGGACAGATTAAGACAGGACACAGACAGCAGAAGGGCTAAGTGAACTTGAACAAGATCTGCAATGCCATTTTCCTTAAGGAATACAGAGATGAGGAGATAATAAATTTGAAGAAGCGACAACATACAGAGCACAGAGAGAGAAAGCTCTGGGAAGACAGAACAGGGAGGAGGGAGGCCACATCCAAGACAGAAGGCTGAGAATTCTCCAAAGTTGATGACAGACAGGGATTCTGAGTTAGGGATCCCACTGAATCCTAAGTAGGATAATTTAAAACATCCATACTTAGTTACATTGTAGCAAAACCCTGGAACACCAAAGACAATCTTGAAAGCAGCTAAAGAAGATAAATGATAACTGACATCGACAATGATGGAATTTAGTGGAATGATATCTTTAGCATACTGAGAAAAACCAGTCACCTCAGATTCGTGTGCTCAGCTAATTAGTCAAGAATTAGGGAAATATAGACTTTTAAGGTAAAAAGTTTACCACAATCAGACCTAGACTAAAGGAATGTCTCAAGCAGGGTTTCTTAACCTCAGGATTCTTGACCTTTTGGGCCAGATAATTCCTTCTTGGGGTGAGGGGGGCCGGGGGGACAGGGGGAGTGGGAGTGTGTGCAGTGGTGTGCATTGTAGCATATTTTGCAGTACCCTTGTCCTCTACCCACCAAATGTCACCCTCTCCCCAGTTATGACAACCAAAATTGTACCCAGACATTGCCAAATGTCCCCTAGTTGAGAACCACTGGTCTAAAGGGTGTTATTCAGGAAAAAAGAAAATGATGCCAGAGGAAGCCGTAACGGAAACAATGTTAGGGTTCACCGATGTCCATTCTCCACTTTTCCCTAACAATAGAAACCCCGTTTTTAGCTGGACAGAGACTGGGAGGCTGGTGCTTCAGGTAAAATGTTTGGCCAGGTTGCAGTCTTCTTTGATTTGGAGGATAGACCACAGTTTGACCAACTTTGTGGCATTAGGAAAATGGTAAAGAGAATCCAGAATGGTGGTTTTGTTGGCTGCTTTTTGGCTGCTTTTAGCAAAGTCCTGTAAGAAAGGCGGTCTCTGGCTGGAGTTGGCCAGTATGCAAGGAGAGTTGGAAGAATCCAGAGCGTTGCTAATGTAGGTAAGTCCCCTCTGTGGCCTGCCATACACTGACAGTTCAATAATTCAGTTCCTTGCAAGTTTGAAAAAACTAATCACTTCTGTACACTCAACCAAGGCAGTTATGAGCTGTGGCTATGAAGAGGCACCCTTTACAGGAGATAACACTGGTGCTGCTAGCAAAGATGAGGTTGTGTGGCTTTTCATAACAAATCTGTCATATTAGCAAATGTCAAGAAATCTGGCAAAATCAAGCATTAACAAGAAGAACTGCTACAATTTTGCGTTATTTCATAGCGTTGGACGTAGGCATTGCCAGGACAACAACTGGAAAGAGCCCACTGTCCGTCATACCCGTGGACTGGGTATCAACTGTGGTGGTATCATACAGAATACCATAGAACAATGAGAACAAAGCACAGTGGCTTGCATAAAACTGACAAACATAACTTTGTGCAAAAGATACAAAACAATTTATGATTCCATTTGTACAAAGTTAAAAAACAGGCAAAAGTAAACTATATTTAAAGATGTCTACATCAGTAGTAAACATTGTATAAAACAATAATAAAAATGTCTAGTTTATGGGATAAAAACCAAATAAAATTAAAATTTTAGACAATGAGATGGAGAGTGTCTATATATTCCTAGAAGGAAGTCCATGATGTATTATTAAATGAAAAAAGGGAGAGAGATTCAAGGAGATCTAGTTGAGCTTCTGATTATTAATTTTTGCTTTATAAAACTTTATATAAGCAATAGTTGCTCATTTTAATTTAATTGGATAAAAATAATTAAAAAATAAAAAGATGAAGAATGATTAGAGATAATGTTTCAAAGTAATTGAGGTAAAGATATTAACTTTATAAGTTAATAGAAGTATGTGTATACAGTATAAAAAGCATAATCTTTTCAAATAATAGAAAGAGCATACAACTTCTAATGGTATAGAAGTTATCTATACCTAATATGGTATAGAGGAAAAATTGAATTTAAAGGCTTCAATAAATCCAAAACAAAAGTAGAAAAAGAACATCTTAGATAGAACAGGACAAATTAAAACACACATACAATAAGATCGTAGAAATGATTCCAGGTAAAAGCAGGTGTGCATAGGAAAAATGCAATTAAAAGCTGTTTTCAACATATACACTGAAAACATGAGGACACGGGCTGAAAGCAAAAGGATGGAAAAAGATCTACAATGCAAATACTAACCAAAAAATGCTGGTGGAGCTCCCATACAAAAAAAAAAGACTTTTCTTTCTTTTTGAAAAAAGTGAGAGTATAGATGTATTCCAATGAAACTTCATTTAGGGACACTGAAATTTGAATTTCATATAATCTTCACATGTCATGAAATATTCTTCCTTTGATTTTTTTTTCCAACCATTTAAAAATGTAAAAATCATTCTAACTCACAGGCCATACAAAAACAGGTGGCAGGTGGATTTGCCGTCAGACCATAGTTTGTCAACCCCTGCTTTAAGGCAAAAAGCATTATGAGGGATCAGAGGTTTCCCACATAATGATAAAAGATATAATTCTCCAGAAATGTTTAACAATCCTAAACGTGTATTCAGCTATTAACATTGTCCTAAATATACATGACAAAACAGAGTGATAAACTTACATGAAGAGGATGGTGATCCTACCATCACATTGAGGGGTTTGAAAAATATGTATTGGGCCAGCCCCGATGGCCTAGTGGTTAAAGTTCGGCGCACTCTGCTTCTGCGCCCAGGTTCGGTTCCCGGGCACAAAACCACACCACTCGTCTGTTGGTGGCCATACTGTGGCAGCAGCTCACATTAAAAAAAAACAAAAACGAGGAAGATTGGCAATAGATGTTAGCTCAGGGTGAATCTTCCTCAGCAAAAGAGAAAAAAAAAATATTTCTCAGTAACTGATATATTAGACAGAAAATAATTGTAAGGCTGTTAATCATGTGAATAACACAATTGCTAATTCTGATCCAATTTAGAGAACTCTGATCTTGAAAGCCAGAAAATCTACTTTCATTTTCCTGGGCCAAGGAGAAAACAAATGGAAATAAGAAAATCGGAATTAAATTACAATGAAAATTCTCCAAATCAAAATTTGTAGAATACAGCTCAAATGATACTTACAGGAAAGTTATAGCCTTAAATGCTTTCTATTGATAGGAAAAGGATGAAAGTTAACAGGCTAAGTATCTGACAAGATTTTGTTTTTAAAAAAAGATTAACAATAAACTCAAAGAAAGGGGAAAGAATAATAAGAAATAATAAAGTAAAAACAAATATATTATCAAAGGAATCAACAAAAGCAAATTTGGTTCTCTGAGCAGAAAAATGAAAGTTAGAAAACTGGCAAGATTGCTCAATAGAAAAGAAAAATAAAAAAGCACAATCATGGGGCCAGCGGTGTAGTGGTTAAGTTCATATGCTCCACTCCAGAGGCCCGGGGTTCAAGGGTTTGGATCTCTGTCGGACCTACATGCTGCTCAATGCTGTGGCAGCATCCCTTATACAAAGTGGAGGAAGATGGGCACAGATGTTAGCTCAGGGACCATCTTCCCTAAGCAAAAACAGGAAGATTGGCAATAGATAGCTCAGGGCCAATCTTCCTCACCAAAAAACAAAAACAAAAAAAGCACAATCATGGAAATTAAAAAAGGACATAATCTAGATAGAACAGAAATTAAAATAATGATCACCACCACAAACAACTTTTTGATAGTACAGCTAAAACTTAGATGACATTGTCAGTTTCATAACAGAATTTCATTCTAAAACTTAGATGACATTGTCAGTTTCCTAACAGAATTTCATTTTCCAAAATCTATAGAAAGAAAAATATAAAACCTAGATAGTTCTATAGTCATTGAAGTTAAAAATTATATACACATATATATACACACGAAGCAAGGTCCAAAGAACTTTATATGAAAAATCCAGCAAACACACGGCACAAAAAGTTTCAATCACATTAAGATTAGGTTTGCCTATGAGTAACAGTAAGCTAACAAAGATAGAAGTTTATTTCATGCTCACATAAAAGTCCAGAAATGTGCGATTGAGGTCTAGTGTGCCGTGTGAAATCCTTGGGCATTCATGGTCTTCCCAGCTCACCCTCTGCCATCCCTAAGGCCTGAACTTAGTCCTTCTGGTATAAGAAGGTGATGTTTGCATTCCAGGCCACAAGGTAGAAGAAGAGATTAAGTAGGAGCTGCAGTTTTACGTCTGCTAATTCTTAAGGAAGATTCCAGAAAACACCCACAACACTTATGTTTATATCTCATGGCCATGCCTAGCTTCAAAAAAGGCTGGGACCTGAAGTCTTTAATTTCAGTGGTCCCATAAACAGCTAAGCATTCTATTATTGAAAAAGAAGGGAGACCAAAACATGGGGGACATCTAGTGATGTCTGTCACATCAATTATACATGAAATCATCCAGAGAGTTGGAAACGGAAGATATTTCAAATTATTTTATATGGTGAAACCAAATCCAGGTAAGGAAAATAGAAAATTACAGGCCAATCTCATTAATGAACATAAATGCAAAATTATAAATATTAGCAAATCCAACAATAGATGCTTTAAAAAATACATCTTTGAAATTCACAAATGGTTTCACATTAGGAAATCCATTTAAGTCACCACATTTCAACAGAAGCAAAATAAGCTTGTGATTAAATAAGACATTAATTCATAATTTTTAAAAATATTGGCAAACTAAAACTATAGGGGAGCTTCCGTAACCCAG